CTTCTTTCTTTGAATGAGTACAGATTTACCTCATTTACAGTTAATGTAGGTGGACTAGATACTGTTTTGCGCAAATGACAACGGGGTAGGGAGGGGTAGGGTAGGTGTTAGGGGCGAGCGGGACGGGGCAGACGGTATCGCTTTCTCCCAATTCAAATCTAACTCAATATATTATAATATATTAAATATATATATATATATATATATAAATTGATAATAAGAAAATAATATCTAAAACATTCTATGATTTCTGTTTAAAATATAAATAATAATCTTAAAAATCTTCAATGTTTATATATATGAAAATAAAAAAATAATTTTATATGTTAAGAATTTAAAGGTCTTAATTTTTTAACTATTTGAAATATCGGATGTATTCACAGTATCAGTATCCGTAGGGTATATAGGATTTTGAAAATTCCATTTAGTACGGCGTGACTTAAGAAATGTCAAATCCCTCCAACACCCTCATACCATCGCTAAGCTAGATACCTCCATTTAAAAACAAAAAAATCCTGTTTAATTCTATTAATATATCTGCGTAAAAAGATATATAAAAAAAATTCATACTATTATGAAAATGAAGATATTAAGTAAAATGATTATTTCATAAAAAAGTTGCTTATTGAATAACAAATCATTATCATCTATATCTATTATGAATTTCAACACACAAAGGTGTTTTGAAAACAACAGTATTACGCGCTATTTATTTTCATTTACTTTTAACTATTCTTACCACTATCTCATCTCTCACATATTAATTAATATATATATATATTTAAAAATTCAAAAAAATTGAAAATTTTAACTTTTAACCATTTTCCTAAAACATCCCAAAATCTCCAGGTATTTCATCATTTAGGCCTCGTTTGTGAACAAACTTTTTTAGTAATTTTTTGAATTTTTAGCTAAAATACGATGTACAAAAACTAGTATTTTTGGAATAAATTTTTAATTTTTTACGAAAATATGTACAAAAAATAAAAAGAAAAGAAAATATTTGATTTTTTTATATAAGTTGTTGACTTCTTAATTTTTTTAATAATTTTTTAACTTTTTAACTAAAATCACTACTTATCAAATGAGATCTTACTCTATTTAAAATTCAAATATCATGATTTAAAAATATGAATTGAATTTTTTCCAAATTTAATTATAAACTTGAGCGACTGAGGAAATAGTGAGACTTACGGCGAGTTGCATTTTAATGATTTAAATTATTTATTATGTAAAACGAATCTTGGCGGCCCCACTTTTTCCCGCGCGCGCTCTCTCTCTCTCTCTCACAGTCCCACTAACTCCGTCCGTCGTACTCGTCCAGGTTAAAGCGACTGTCACGTTTCTTGTTCGCTCACAAATCCTCATTCTCTCTACAAACGAATTCACGTTCCTCTCTCTCTCTCTCTCTCTCTCTCTCTCTAAACCGCCCTGCAAAACAAGAAATCACTGAAATCAAATGGAGGTCACAGTGACGAAATGCGAGGAGCAGGACTGTGACTGTGACCTCCACTACTACTACGATGCCTACACAGTGTTCGTCGGAGAGCATCGCATCCTCACCATCTCCACCGCCAACTACATCACCACCACCAGATGGATCAAGGAAGTCCAGAAGACCTACCGCCACAAGCACGGACCTCTCATTGTCGGCGTCTGCGTCGACCGCCAAAGCCTCAATTTCACAAGCAATGGCCTCGAAGACTCTCCCTACGATCTCCTCCAACTCTGCATTGGCTCTCACTGCCTCATTTACCGCTTCTCCGACCCTTACTGTTACCGTATCCCCAAATCTCTCCAAGAGTTCTTCGATGATCGTCGAGTCATCGCCGTTGGTATGGACATGGTCTCTGTTGCGAAGAAGCTCGAAAGGAACCACGAAATCAAGGTTGCGAATCCGATGGATTTGAATTCTATGGCGGTGAAGGGGCTGAGAAGAGACGATCTGGATCTACTGCACTACGGTCTCAATCGATTGGCCAGGGTCGTGTTAGGGAAGCACGTTTACGTCTTTAGGCCTTGCCGATACAAGGTGGAGTGGTTCCAGAAGTACGACGGGGGCAATTACAACTGGTACAATCCTCACCTTTCTCATGAAAAGGTGAAATTCGCAACGTCCGAGCCCTACCTTTGTTATCTGATCGGATCTAAGCTTCTTGATATGATGAACTGTTCATCTTCGGCTTCTTCTTCATCCTCGAAGAAGAAGACAAAGAAGAAGAACAGCAAGAAGAAGAAATAGCAGATAGACGTACGATCCAAAAATTGAGTGCACATGTGTCTCCTCTTTTAGAATAAATTTTCCAGTAGACTTAGGGTTTACTAAAGCTTGGTGATATGCGTTATATCTTTAGTCAGAGAACTTTCTCTTTTTAGAGTACTCTACTCTCTGTTGAATAATGAAACTTAGGGTTTAAGACGAGTTTTGTGAAGCTTTGATTGAATTTGGATGATAAACTTGTAAGATGATCTTGCTTATTCGTTAGTCATTACATGATTCAAATGAAGATTAGTTTTCCTAATTTTGTTTTTAATAGTCTCATATTAATTGTTCCTCAATGTATAGCTGAATGAGTTGATCAATAAATGATAATATCTCCTGGATATATATGCTTTAATGAAGCCAAGGTGTAGACGTCTCCCGAACGTCCTGGGAGGGTGAGCTCCCGTTCTGTTCATTTGGGGTCACTACAGCTCAGGACTCTAAAATTGTCACGGTTCTAAATCTGAACCAAAGAGTCCAAATCCGACAAATCGTTTTGAGAAAAACAGAGTTTTGGAAAAGAAGTGCCAAACATGGACTGCTTTGCCAGATACAGAGTCGCCACCTAAATATTTTATTTTGAGAAAATTTAGGAAACCCTGACTCGTTTGCCTAAGGCCACGTGTCCGTCATCACCAAAATTGCCTCGGCTCGAGAACTTGGGTACGATTGGGGAATGTCACTTCGTGAGAACCCCCGCTCGCCCGATCAAAGATCGGCCTCTACTAACCATGATATCTATTTTTGAAAACATTATGCGTTCTTATTCCGGTTATTAGCCTAGATTTACTATGTGATGCGCACAGCATACAAGTATAGACTGGGTCGCCTGAATTGGAACAAAACATTTCATGTTTGTTTGTTTGAAAATGGTTTGATGGTGCTACTCGCAAGTAGGCTAAGACGTGGATTTGCCACCCTCAGGTGGGCTTAGAAAACATGATTTTGCCACTATCTAGTGGGCTTAAAACACACATTCGATGAATTGTTCCAATCCAAATAACCCAACCTTCACCCACAGGTATTCATGCAGTTTATATCACATAAGCACATAGCCTCATGATAAGCATGCTTCATGACAGTCACTCACACGCATGCAATGATGTTAAAGCATAAAACTCACCGAGTACTCCAAGCCAAAACAGAAGCTAGGTTAGAAACCATGCATGATCCTAAATATACAGAAATGCAATGCAACACATGCAAAATGCAACTATAGCAGACTCGGCTATTCTAAACATGGCATATGAGATGCAAAAGCTAACAAGTACTCAACTTGGAATTAAAAATACAATGCAGTTAATATGATGCGCCGAGCCCGGTGCATGCAATACAGATGAATGAATGCAAACATGCTATCATACTGTATGCTAATTGAAACATGCCCTAATCTAACCATCATAAGCAGGTAAATAAAAGGGAAGAAAGACGTGGGGTTGGAAGACATACATCACACTCACCCACACTTATTACAGTATTGCCCTCGCGCAGAGGGTCCGAAAGAATAATACAGTCCCGAATGAATAAATAATACAGTCCCGAATAAATACAAAAATCCTAATTAATTTACAAATTAATCTAAGAAAGCTACAAACTGGCATGCAAGCCGGGGACCGCCTCGACTCTGATGAATGATGTATGTTTGGGCTGCCTTGCGCGAAAATCCACTGGGATGCCCCAATTAGCCTCTGTTTTGCAATTATTCTTGGAAAGCGCGCCAAGCTCCAGAAGGTTGCTAATTCTTGATTTGCTGCAACAGAGAGCAGGAAAGGGGCATAGCAATGTATTTTCACAAATGTATGCATGTCTTGATCCTCGTGCCACCAATCACGCATCTTGATGCATGATGGCCAAGGAATCGAATTGCACAACTCACTATGGAATGAATGCACATGAAAACACAATGAAACCTAGACTCCATCATGGATAATCCGGAGTGTCGGTGATTGGGAATTGAGACACGTTCCGTCACTCGAAGTACGAAACGTACCTCGTTTCCCGTGCCCGGGCTAACTCCTACCCCAAGCACAATGCAATATGCATGAGATGCATGAATGCAACTAATATACAACCTAGCATGTACAATGCTATGAAATGGTATACACGATACACGAGGTAACATGGCATACACAATGCGCTAACATACAACCTAGCATATGCAATGCTATGAAATGAGATGGCATACACAATGCAAAATGGACTTACACCAACATGAATGGACCTCAGCCACACTCACATAAGAGGCCATGAGATGAAAATGAGACAACTCAAGATGCGTGCACGCATGCACGCAAATCGAGGACCGATCCTAAGGCACAAAATGCCACTCTAACAAGACATGGCAAGGCATGAAATATGATATGCTAGCATGCAAATTTCAGAATTGAAATGCGACACAAAACAGCCCCGAATCATGACAATATAGTACTTGATGCATGAAATGGTCCCGAAATGCAAGATTAAGCACATGAAATGACTTGTAGCTACATCAAGCATGGATTATTTGCTCATGACATGTGAAGATAGATTCAAGGAAGCCCCAAAACAAGCATGTTTGCAGTTCTAAGCAAGGCTAAACAGCAAACAAAAATAGGGCAAAACTAGCATGCAAAAATGGCCCTAAATGTGAGATAAAGAAGTGAGTCACAGCTGCAGACCTCAAAAAGATTAGGGCCCTTCAACAATGTTGGAGACGGGCTCAAAATATGATATTTTACAGTTTACAACAAACCCCAAAAACCAGCACAGGTATGGCTAAGATCTCATGCAAGAAAAGGGCCAAAAGATGGACAAAGAAGCAAGTAGTGGTTGCTGGCCTCAAACACAAAGGGGCCCTTCAACAATGTTGAACAGGGGCCAAAAATAATGCGCAGTTGATGGCCGGACTCAAAACAGTATGCATGCAAGCCTAAAATACTACTCAAAATAAGGCCCAAAAGAGAGATATAACACAAAGTATATAAAGGATGCCTCAAACAGTGAAAGACCCTTAATGAAACATGAAGAGGGGGTCAAAATAAGGTCATTTGTAGTTCGGACCAGGACCCAAAAACAGAAGCAAAAGAGGCTAACAAATCATGCAAAAATGGGGCTAAAAAAGGGATATAAAGGCAAGTGGAAGATAGAAGCCTCAAACAGCAATGAGCCCTTCAACAATGTTGAAGAAGGGCTTAAAATAAACTACTTTTCAGTTCATTACAGAGCTCAAAACAGTTTATACATAGGCCAAAAATACTACACAAGAAGATGGCATACAAGGGAGATAATGAAGCAAGTGAAACAAGGAGGCCTCAAAAAGTGAGAGGCCCTTAAACAAAAGTGAAAAGGAGCTCAAAATAAGCCTAGTTACAGTTAGGGTCGGAGCCCAAAACAACAAGCAAATAAGGCTTAGAAAGGATGCAAAATATGGACAAAAAAGAGAGAAATAGAGCTTACCCTTGTAGACTAAACTTTGGCACCCTTTTGGCTTGAGATGCAGCACTCCTAGGCCTTGAAGAACAACCTCCAGCTGCTGGAATGAAGGATGGAAGGGTGGGGCTATGGGTTGGTGAAGAAATGGTGTAGGGTTTGAGAGGTTTGAAGTTTGGAAGAGAGGGAGATGGAGGTGTATGTATGCAAAGCTCTTAGGGCAATTTTGTTAACCCTAATAACAGAGCTGGAGCCCCTGTTATATAGGCAAAAAGGGGGGAAAAAGGGAGGGAAAAAATGGAGGGAAAACCAACCAAGTTTCCCTCCAAAAAGCAGCCCCCCGGATACAGAATCTAGGGGGAAAACAAATGCATATTTGCACTGTAGATGATGTAAGGATTTTGGCCAGCTAGTTATCTAGGTTGCAGGTGGTCGGCCAGCTACCTCCCATGGCCGGCCGGCCAAGGGGCAAAAGGGTCAAGTGTGATTAATGGCCGGCCACCACAGAAAGAGAGCCTATGATGTGTGCACAACACAACCCTGTGGTTAAACACTGAAAAAAGTAAACCAGGAGAGAGAACAACCCACTTCAAGGAGGGGTTCAAAAGGGTCAGAAAGGGTTACTGGCCGGCCACCAAATATTGGTGGCCTCCCAGATGCGTACATCACAAATATGGGGTTTAGGGTTCAAGAAAATGGCCCAAGGGTGTTCAACATTGGCTTTGAAGTGAGGAAAATCGAGCGACGGAGGGCGATGAAGGGATAAAGTTGGCTGACAGAATAATTACTGGCCTCCCAGCCTTCTACGGCCTTTTTACCAATGAAATAGAGGTCCCTGCCAAAAATGAACCAAAACCGATGCAAAATGAGGGTTCGGGGGCCGAAACGCGCTATTCGGGGCCCCGAAAACTGGCTGTTAGGCACCGGGAGTGGTGTTCGACCACGAAGTTGGCTTCCCGGGCCACAGTGCCCTCAAAAGGGAGCAAATAAGATGTATGCCAAAAACCAGAGCAAACGGAGATAGTTAAGCGTTCCCGAACCGAGGCACACGGCCAACGATTCTGAAAAACCGGAAACCAGACTCCAAACGGGCAAAAATGGCCTACCACCACGAAACGTAGCCTACGGCCACTGAGAGATGGTCTACGAGACCTCTCCCTCCCTTCGCGAAGAGAAAACAGAGAAAACCGAGCCTGGTTCGCAAACCGAGGCAAAACAGAAAAGAGTCCGGAAGTCCGGAGGCAAGGCTCGCAGCCGAGACTCCGAAACCTCTGAACGAGCACGATATGCAACATCACCAAGCCCTCAATCGGTGACGTCTGAGTCTTAAGGTTGGTCAAAAATGGGGTGTCTACAGTTGCCCCTCTTTGACAGAACTCGAAAGTCATAAGTGACGGGAGTGAATGTCAAAGCCCAGAGACGACCCATTTTTGACAAGGCCGAAGACTTAGACAAACAGGCGAGATAAACAGAGATATGCCCGCAGGCAGGGGCAAAATGCAACTGATAATGCAAGACGCCAAAGGTAACTCAAGGTCATGCAAATGTGCAAGCACATATTCATGATAGATGCAACAGTTTTAAGCGAGAATGCAAAGCAACAACTATATTTCATGCAGTTAAGAATGCAGAGAATTATTCAATTCTCGTCGCGTCTCACACGGAGAAGATACGATACCTGCGCGATTCGTCTGGTCGCACCAGCCTCAAATGAACCGTACATACAGTATCGTGCCTGATGGTGCTGGGGATCTCTCGCTTCTTCTTGGTTGAACCACAGGTACTGTTTTTCTCCCTGA